GGGGGGAAGCGGGAGGGGGAGGGAGGATGGGGATAACTGGGTGGGGGACACGGGGTACAAATACAATTGTGGTAATGGGCATGCTGCCAGTATGAATCTGGCCTTCACATCTTGGGCACGAGTGGTGACAATTAGCTTTGTATCTCATGAATATTCGAAACCAATAAAATTAAAAAATTTTGTTTTAATTTTTTTTAAATTTGAATAATCTAGAACTTTGTAATTAGATGTTCAAAATATTATATTAGTTTTTATTTTTATTTTTTTTTCCTTTTTTTTTTTTTTTGTCTTTTTTCGTGTCCGGCAAGGGATCCCAACCCCCCGGGTCCCCCCCCGGCCCGCCCGGGCCCGGCAACGGGATCACAACCCTCGGTGTTGCTCCCACACCTCGCTCAGCCAGTGAGCGGGAACCGGTCTGTATGTGGGATCCAAACCCTCGGCGGGAGCGCCACCACACTCCCAAGCGGCGCACTGTAGCAGTGCGCCACCGGGCCGGCCCGTAGTTTTTATTTTTAACAGTTACAGAGATAATTAGTATTATTTTTTGGACATGTCCATCCTAAAGCCTATTGAGTATGATGTTTTGTTTCCACTGCTCTATTAATTATTGACTGTTTGCCTCTGGGCAACTCATTTTTACTCTTGAGGCTTCATTTCTTTGGTTAAGGGGAAAGAAGGCATGTTATGTCTCTTTTGGCATTTGAAGTGTTTGCTGTGTTTTTTCTGTGAGTGAGATCACTGCTTGCCCCTCTACAGCTAGCTCCTTGCTGTATTTGCTTAGTGAGATCTGTGGATTTCAGGCGACACCTATCCATTACAGGCCAACCCTCTCCTCTATCTTGATGGATGAGATGGGTGACGAGTTCAGACTTTATGTTCTTAAAAAGTGCCCTTTTTTTTCCCCATGAAGCCTGCTTTCTCTCTTTAATACTCAGCCCCACTCGCGGCGGCCCCACCAGCCTCACTCACATGGGAGTGCAGCTTTTGAACTTTGCAATGTCAACAGTGTTTTCTGACTGGTTGTTGTTTTAAATAATACAGACTTTTTGCTAATTCTTTGAGTAGTTATGACTTCTTTTAATACCTGTGCTCTGTTACATTCTGTTGAACAACTGATATCCTTTTTTGTTACAGAGTCTTCACCAAGTGAGTATCTGTAGAGAAACTGACCTGCATCAGAATACAAAAAGTGTCTCACACACAAAAAATTGATGGACGTAAGCCTTAAATCTGAGATTGCGACTTCTTGGCAGCCTGTGATGTCCTTCTCCAAATTGCATGTATTCTGACTACAAAAACCTGTGACATACATGCTTTTTAAAAAATCAGAGCTCTAGAAACATAATTTAGGACAGCCAGATTGTTTTATTCTTTATGAAGGTTACACAAGGAAAAAAATAGTGTATTTACGTCATAGACCTACATTTTATTGCTCACCATGTGAGAAACGTGGATTTAAATAATGGAAAAGAGAAGTAAAAGGCGTGGGAACACTCCAATTTATTATTTTATTTTGTTTTAATTGACAAATAATAAGTATATATTTATGAGGTACAATATGATATTTTGATGTATGTACACATTCTGGAATGATTATATCAAGCTAATTAAAATATCCATCACCGCACATATTTATTCTTTTTTGTGGTAAGAATATTTAAAATCTACTGTTAGCAATTTTGAAATATAAAATGTGTTATTATTAACTATAGGCACCCTGCTGTGCAATAGCTCACTAAAACTTACTCCTCTCATCTAACTGAAGCTCGCTTTGACCAACATCTCCCTTTTCTCTGCCAACCACCACCCCACCCCACCCCCACCCTATCAACTTAGTCTAGCTAAAAATTTGCTAATCATAATTATCTTTCCAAAAAACCAACTCTCAGTTTTGTTGATCTTGTTATTATTTTTTAAATCTATTTCAATTATTTCTTTTTGTTATTTCCTTCCTTCTACTAACTTTTGGGCTCAGATTGTATTTCTTTAGGATCCCAATTTAAAAATACAAATGCAGTGGTACAGAGGCTCACCTACATAGGCTATGTTAGGGGTTTTGGTATTTTCTACATAGTCTTAAGTAATAATATTTACTTCACTACTGATCTAATCAAGGGACTATCACCTGACATTAATATGAGTTTATAAACTTTCCATCAGGAAATGAATCACTGCAGGTATTATATATAATCTACATGTTTCCATTGGCAGCAAAACCTACTTAATTTCAGAGAAACATTTAACCATTCAAATTAATAAAAGCCTCAATAAGCAGCAAAGCTGCTGTAATCTGGAGAAGTCATTGTGAGGATGAGGATCTGCTTGGCTTGTTTCCTGGGTCGCTGAGGAGGGCGTCGCTACTGATCCCGAGTCTGGTGCTGATGACAGCCACACTCTCCCCTCTCACTCTGATTGCCTTTTTCTTTTCTGTATTTCTTTTTCTCTGCTGTTTCTATTTCTCCTGATGTTCATTGTGGTTTTAACTTTATAAACAACAGTAGCCAATCCAGATAGTGCTTTTTTCCTTCCAACTAGAAAACCCTCTACTTAGAGCTGTTGCTGTAACTTTCTGGAAACTAATCTAGTCAAGGCTTCTCACTAATGTTTCTTTCCCTCCACAAGACACAGGATTATTATTATTTTTTATTGCAGTATTTTACAGCTATCCTAGATGTTTCAGCATGGCAAAAATCTGGCCTTTGGGTAACTGGTACACTATTTTACTCTGAAAGGGGCCACCATTAATGAAGGTGCATAAGACTGGAGGTACAGGGACAAATGCCAGGCAGAGTCCACTCTCAGGAGCTGGGGCGGCCACAGACTGACAGCCTGAGTGGCCTCCCCACTGCCTACTCACCTTGTCAAAGCTATGCTCACACTATTTAGCACATTTATGTCAGCAGAACTTCCTCAAATGCACAAGGCACGACTCCAGTGGGGCACCTTTCTTGTCTACCCATACAAAAGTTGGAATCCCTTGTTTTCCATGTATGATTTGTGTTGGAAGGTAGGATCATACACTCCACTTTTATGTAGACTTTAGGGACAATCCTTATAAATTAATTAGGTACAGAAATATTTGTTTCATTTAAAATTAATAAATTTTTTAATTTATAAAAAATGTTATCTTTATCTGTCTAATCATTTCTTCACTTTGCCTTGCAGGCCAGGAAGCACCTCCATCTGCATCAACACCAGCAGAGCTAAAATAAATCCTGATTCAATATGTATTTAGGTAACTTAAATGGCTAACTATGATATGACTATGTTACAGCTATATTTATAAGGCTCCTGTTATATCTTATTAATATAGATTCTTATGGAATAATTTATCTTGCAGCAGATTTGATATCATTGCAGCATAGATGGTGCAAGTGTTAGGTTTTGTCTCTTGCATTTCTCTGGGATGTTAAACCGGTGGTCACTAAACACAGCTAAGGCCTCTTGCACCCTTGGCCTTGCTGGCCTGCTGATATCCCAGTGTCTCAGAACCAAACACTTCCTCCCTGTCATCAGCTAACATCACCTCCTGTGTGAAGCACTGCTGGGTGGCTTTTCTATTAGACCCTTAACTAGAAAAAACTCACAGAACAAGCTTTAAGCCTTTTCCTCTATTTGGTCCTGTAATCCTTATAGAAATAATTTCCCTGTTACAAAAAAACTTAATTCCAGAATATGGTGATATAGTTTATGTTAAGAAAGAGATTTTAATTTATTATGCCTTGAAGTTTTAAACATTAAATATAAACCATTGTAACATTTGCTAGCTTTCAATTTTTGCTAATACTTTTTGCATAAACTGAAGTCCAGAATATTTAACATTTACTATTTTGTATCTTTAAGTAAAAATATGTTAAATTTTAATATTTAATTTAGTAGGCTTAACAAAATCTAATAATAAGACTGAATTCTCTTGTTTTATAAATTTTATTATTGTTTATAACTAGCATGAAATGTGGTTATATATTTTGTACATTTAATTCATTAGTAAAATAATTTTCTGCAGGAAGGTTTTGGAAAGCCAAATAAGGTCACAGATATTTTAGCTTCTTTCCCAGAACAAACATCATGCACTTGCTCACCTAAAATGTAAGGTTCAAATTAGTTCTTTAAATTAGATACTTAATTGAGCGTATATATCTGTATTGCTTGATCAAACTGATACTTCCATGGGAGAATGTATACACTGTGTGAAAAATGTGAATGGCTGTATGTACTGAATAAAAAGAATATGCTATTATAGTAAAAAGTTTTTTTTTCCCTCTTTTATTCTTTTTCCTCCTCTTCCTTCCTTTACCTCATTTCCTACTTCATTCCCAAACACTCCCACCTTAATGAAAAAATAATCAGGAACAGATAGCAGTAGCACAGAACTCTTTAATTCTTGTATTAGGTTATTATAGTACTGTTTTTTTTCCCTCTTTTATTCTTTTTCCTCCTCTTCCTTCCTTTACCTCATTTCCTACTTCATTCCCAAACACCCCCACCTTAATGAAAAAATCATCAGGAACAGATAGCAGTAGCACAGAACTCTTTAATTCTTGTATTAGGTTATTATAGTACTGGAAACCTGTGGTGTAGGGAAAGAGAGGACAGAATTTAGAGTAAAGACCAGTGATCCAATATTGGCTTCACCTAAAGTTGCCAGGGCCTGTTACTGAAAAGCCAGTCCTGTAGCTAACTTTCTGATTGGTAAATGCAACAAAGAAACATTATGAAAACAGAAAACTTTCAATTTCATCAAGTTGTTCTGAAGTAAATGACATATTTTGAACAGATTAAAAATATTGCAAGATCATACTAAAGATAAATTGTCAGTTAAAACCAGCAAAACATGTTTTTAATTAAATAGGACTTTTACACACATGTGTGCATGTGTGCAACTGGGTTCCTCGAGACACCTTCAAAAACTGTCCAAATTGTACATTGAAAAGCAGCTGAGCTTTGCTCTCAGGGTAAAAAGAGTTGAAAAGTTTCTTACCTCCTTATTTTCATCCTGTCATATTACCGATGCTCATTTGTCCTTTATACTCACTTTGATCTGTGTTTTTCATTTTACCTTTTACTCTAAGGAATGTGATACAGTCACCCATCAGTTAGCATTTCAGGCAGCATACTTAACTCTTTCCGCCTGTTTTTTTTTTTTTTTTTTTACTGTAAATTGTATTTCTCATTTTTATGACAGATAGGGTATTATATTTTTTTTTCATTTTTGAGTAGATTTTCTGGAGCCATTTTAAGTTCACAGCAAAATTGAACACAAAATACAGAAAGTTCACGTATAACCCCTGCCCCCACACATGCACGGCCCTCCCCATCTGTTAAAAAAAAAAAAAGATTTTCAGTTTGGTTTACAAGCAAGACATGAATGGCATATGCTAAAGATGTGAGATGCATCTGCAACATGACTCCAAAAGGCTAAAAATGAAATGTTGGTCAAAGGCACACCAGGAAAGCAGAAATAAGGAAACAGGGATAGCAATATTCATATCATACACAGTATAATTTAATCCAATAAGCATTAAATGTGACTAGGATACTTTATAATGCTAAAAGCCAAAAGTCACAGCAAAGATGGGACAGGTATGAGCATCTAAGTATCAGACACAAAGACTAACTTTGTGAAGCAGGAACTACAGGAGATCTAAGGAGTCTTAGAAATAAACTATCAATAGAAGAATTTAAAGCACCACTCTCAGTGTAAATCAGATCAAATAGAAAAAAATAAAGATTATATAGAAGACCTAAACAATATAATCAATATGGTAGATCTTAAGGGTATATATCAAAAGTTAAAACTCAATAATAGGAAATATACCTTTAAAAGCACACACAGAATATTCACAGAAATAGATGTTATATTAGAACATAATAAAGTAGAAATGTTAAAAATAGTATTCCAATCACAGTGCAATAAATCTGGAAATTAATCACAAAATCAATAAACTTGAAAAAAACTTTCCCGTCAATTTTTTTTAAAACTATACAACTTGATGAAAGATGAAAATACTTAGGTGAAAGAGAAACTACTAACCTAAATTATAGAATTTTAAAATATATATATATAATAAAAGTACTATTAATATATATATAATAAAAGTAAGGACCTATGGGAACTAGACTTAAGAGACATGTACGGAGCACTCCACCCAACAACACTGGCTGAGATTCCACATCTTCTCAAGTGCACATGGACATTCTCCAGGACAGATCATATATTAGGCCACAAAACAAGTCTCAATAAATTTTAAAAGATGAAAATTATGAAAAGTATCTTTTCTAACCACAATGGAATGAAACTAGAAATCAATAGCAGAAAAACTTGGGTGGCGTGAGCATGGTGAGAGAGGAGAGGAAGAAAAAGAAAACAAGGAAGTATGCGACCATGAAGCAAATGCTGAGTCTCAGGGATCAGAGGCTTAAAAAAAAGGACTCAAACCTAAAAAGAAAGAAAAGAAAGATCCCAGTGCGCTGAAGGAAAGAAGTCCCCCAACACACTTCCTGCTTATTCTTCCAACATAAGACACATCTGGGCCCACCTTAACACATCCTGGTTGATACCAACTTCTTCAACTTTTCCATTAAAGCCAAGCTGGACTTAGTGCAGTCAGTGATGGGCTGTCTGTATGCCAAGCGTATCCCTAGTATAACTGACTGTGTAATGGCTGAAATTGAGAAATTGGGGCAGAAACACTGAGTAGCTCTCAGGATTGCCAAGAATCCAAGATTTGAACATTACCAAGCACACACAAAGGAACCTATATAGATGACTGCTTAATACAGAGAGTAACTCAGCACAAGTGTTACATTGTGGCCACAGTTGACCAGGACCTTAAATGAAGAATCCAAAAGATCCATGGAGCTCCTATCATGTTCATTTCTAACCATAGATACAACATCGAGCAGATGCCAGAGGATTATGGAGCCCCTCCGTTCTAATTCTTACAAGATAAACTTCCTCTGCCTTCCTATAACCAACTTTCTCTCTTGCCAGTTCATTAAACATGCTATAGCATGAATTATTCTGTTCACCCCTTTGCTCTATTATGAGGTATGTATAGTTAAATACACTCACTTTTTGATGCTGGGGGCGGGGGCAGGAAAAGAAAAACTGGAAATTTCACAAATATGTAGAAATTAAATGACACATACCTAAATGACCAATTGGCCAAAGGTTACATCACAAAGAGATTAGAAAATACTTTGAAACGAATGAAACAAAAGCATAACATACAAAAACTTACAGGATGCACTAAAAGCAATGCTCAGAAACTTATTGCTGTAAACATATGCATTAAAAAAGAATAAAGATCTTTAATCAGTACTAACTTACCCTTTGAGGAACTTTAAGAAGAAGAAACTGAACCCAAAGCTTGCAGAAAGAAGGAAATAATCAAGATTAGAAGAGAAATAAACAAAATAGAGAGTAGGACAAACAATATACTTAGTGAAACCAAAGTTGGTTCTTTTGAAAGATCAACAAAGATCAACATAATGGATAAACATTCAGCTAGAATGACCCCCCCCCAAATAAAAAAGAAAGAAAAAAGAAGACTCAAATTGCTAAAATAAGAAATAAAAGTAAGGACATAACTGCCAATATTATAGAAATAAAAAGGATTATAAGAGAATACTATGGGGCCGGCCCGGTGGCGCACTGGAGAGTGCGCCACTTGGAAGCGTGGCGGCGCTCCCACCGAGGGTTCGGATCCCATGTGGAGACCGGTTCCCGCTCACTGGCTGAGCGTGGTCCGGGTGCAACACCGA